AATAATTGGGTGCAACCTCGAGTCACTGAGAATGAGACGAGGTGCGATTCGAATGTGAGGCTGAGAACTTACAGTTAAGTTGATCAGTCTGAGATTAAAGCTGTTTTAACAGTTGCTTGTAAGTCATGCAGTGGCCTGCATTGTGCTTCACACTTTTTGGTAAACCAGTGTCGAAACGACAATTAAAGCTTGAGATATAATCCCTTCTTCACGTACGCTTAAATTGCCTTTATTTCCATGATTACGATCTCGTCACAGAAGGTATTCAAGTCAGTGGATTTCGTTGCCGCTTAGAACTTGGTCATTTACTCTCTTGAGCTTATCGCATTGTTGCGAAGCCGTGCAACGGTTGTCAAATAGGCAAACGTCATCTTTGTTAAATGCAAGATCGCTGCATAGGATAAAATTAAATCGCGTTTTACAGAGATGCAGCGGTTTGAGCAAACCATTTCGCCAAACAGTAAAAGTCTCTGTCGCTTCATTCTCTTTCTACTTTACTAATCTTCCGTCAATGCATAATTCGCACTTGTCACGACGGTTGACATTGCCCTCAGGAATGAATGTTAGAGCCTTCTTGACGAGGATTTAGCCAACTTGCTTATGGTGAGTTAAATGCATTGAACCAATCTCAGAGTATCCATTTTGCCACATGCCATAAGATTTTTGAATCCTTTCACACAGGAGCATGAAACCTAGGAAAAATGAGTTTGCTTTCACCTGAAATACTTTTTTTGAAAACATCCCTATCTTATTTACATTCATTTCCGTTTCTAGGTTGTCTATCAATAGCTGTTCCCAGAATTCTTCTTGAAGAACCATTTTTGCATGCGAAACTTTAAATAAAATCTTCCTAGTGTTGAAATCTTACAGGAAGGCAATATAAAATTGTATCACCATAAGTTACTATTTTGTAGGTCTTTCGAATTCGAAGTTTCAATATTCGCTCACCGATAACAGATCTATCACAAAACCAACAAAACCAAACATGAGGCAAACTTAATTATTAATCAAATGATCAATATTTTCTGTTATTACCAGTATAAAGATGTAGCTTCTGGTTGTCATCAGAAAGAGCAGCAGCAAAATCCGAAAATAAACCACCTGTGAATGTTAAAATTCACATAAGATAAGCTCCAACGAAAAACCACGTTCAAACTGCTGCACGAATCATATTACCGGTAAAATATCACATAACAAAGCAACAAATTTCCGAAAAATTTGCCACTTCCGCCGACAGTAGCAAAATCGATCACTGAGCAAATGCCACGTTCGGACCGCAAGCGTACAGCACTTTTACAGAAACTGTCACTCAGCTGCTACTCAACAAGTCATCATCCGATGTCGAAGTTGACAAAAAACGCTGACACGGCGAAACACAGGAAAACTATTCCACCGATAACTGTCACTAAAACAAAATAACAAGCTGAAACTTCGTCATACTGCAAAGCTAAATTTATTACTTTTATGAAAAAATATGCATGATTCAATGGTTCAAGCACGAGTGACAAGAAAAATTCATTACTTAACGCCGATATGACCTTTCCACAGAAATGGCATGGTCCCTGTTAGTGTCAGATTGTTGCATAACTGAAAAGCCTGGTCGACACAACCGTCTTCTCTGGGTGTTCAGGAGCAAAATGGAAAGAAATCTAAGTTCTCTGATCGCGACTAACGCCAGTTCAGTCGTAACGTCAGATCGATGTGATACAAAGAACTAATCATTCATTTCGCTAAGCAAAGAATCAGAAAACGTATCCGGTATAGTCATCTGCAGCGAGTCAAACAAGTTAGTGATAACAGTCAACAATATCCGGTCCCTTCTTCGAACATTTTTTTGGGTTACATCCTATGTTGGTCATTACACTGGATAACCAGTTATCAGATGAGTCAAGGCGAAAAACATCCACAAGGGGCACTCACATCAGACGGCACATGATTGTTCTGGCACAAAGGTATCACAGTACCATGCTGTCCTTGTTGCTTGTAATTCAAGCACTGGCCACAAGTCTCTCAGGTGGTTGCATCGAGGTAACTTGGTAAATTCCTTGCTCAAAGGAATTCGCGGATAAGACAAAAATTTTCCTTTCAATGGATTCGAACCTGGCACCTTCGGAATTCTAAGATCTCTTTGATACAATGCCACCGCGCTTCCAATGATGACCCATACTTCTTTAAGGTTTTATCAATACTGTTGATGACTAATAAGTTAAGAATTTAAAATTCACTCTAGTTTACATCATGACCATGCGAAAGAGAAATACTGGTTATAAATAAGAAAATATTGCCCTAATGTACAATAAGGTATATATGATCATTTATATAAACACATAAACCGTAAACCATAGATGTAGCTACTTATAATTAAGAACCTTCGGCAATAGGGTTTTCAGCAACAATCTGGAAACTGATAACATTTACACAAAGAGGTCATTTCACTGCCTAGGACCCATAGGAAATTCCATGGCATACTGACGCCATATCTGTATCTCCTAACCGACTAACAGTTATCCATGGCTTACGCGTAAGTATAATTCCATTACAGAGTAGCCATAATATAAAGTTCTTATTACATAACAGTAGCATTAAACTGGATCCAAAGTCGTCAGTCATAACGGAAGAACAGAACTTCTGTTATGCACAACGCAGTGTGTACGATGATAGGTACAGTGGCCTATAGGATGATCACCAAAAGGTAACAGGCAATCACCGATAGACAATCATATTGCGCTGTGCATAATTTAACCACTTTTGCCCTTTCCTAAACATTTAAGCATTATTAAATATGCAGACACTATCAAACAACTATTACCACACATGTTAAATCCAGATTTCACAATGCTTGCATTGAAAATTAATATCAAGTTTTACTCCATCAATCCTCCCGTCTGCATCTGTAATAAGAATATTCTTCTCTTAGACAGATCTGTCAAACAAGGAATACGGATCTTTCTCAAAGCTGCACCAGAACGATAATAAACTGACTTACAAATGGACACTCACAGTCCATGGAACAGAGGAAAACCCAGCCTGACAATCAGTG